GTAAGTAGACTTATCTACCTAGCTAACATAGGCCAGACATTTCATTCGCTATCACCCGAGTTAGCCAATTTATGTACAGGCCATGTCAACCTCATCTTGATGCAGTTTATCATATTCTTCACGACCTCAAGTCTTGTCTTGGACTTGGGTTGTTTTATGCATCAGGATCTCAGACTGGTTCTCTAGCCTGTTATTCAGATTCAGATTATGGGGAAACATGTGACGGTCGATCTACTACGGGTTTCTGTGCTTTTCGAGGGACTCATCTTATCTCTTGGAAGAGCAAGAAGCAGACAGTTGTCTCTCATTCGCAGTAGAGGTAGAGTATCGGGCACTGACACTTGGCACATGTGAGATTATCTGGCTACGATCGATTCTTGACGAGTTGGCATTTTCAATGACTTCTTTATCTACATTATATTGTGATAATCGATCTATTATTCAGTCGTTTCTGACTCTGTATTACACGAGAGGACGAAGCATATAGAGATTGATGTTCACTTCTTTGGGAGAAGGTTCGCTGTGGTATTGTCACTCCATTGTTTGTGGGGACTAGTGATTAGGTTGCGGATGTTTTCACCAAACCTGTCACTCTATCCATTCTCCGGAACTCCGTTGTCAAGCTTTGCTTAGTTGATATTTTTGCGCCTAACTTGAGAGGGAGTGTTGAAGTATAATTTAGTTTATTAGGATTTCTTTTTCTTTTTTTACCCTTACTATGACTTTATATTTTTGCCTAGACCACAAGGATGTTTAGGTCATTTTGTATTATTATTTGACTATATATATAGGGGGCTCTACTCTTAGTTTGAGCATCCCTTTTCACTCACAATTATTTCAAGTGAAAGTAAGCTCTCCGTAAATGCTCTGCTCCAACCACTACCAAACGCCCATCACCTCCATACATGTGGCGTGACAACCACCAAAAACCCTCTTGATTCCATTATTCGGCACTCACCATGAGTGGAGCTTCAATTCCTTCCAAATCCCACTCAATTTCTATCGAAACACTGGATATAGCTGCGTACTGACTTTGATTCAACCAATTCCCCAAATAGAGCTTTATGGTCTTGTGTCTTCTTGTGTTTGCGACTGCCTTTATATTTGTTTGTGTATGGGATGAGGGGTCTCGGTGAATGGTCATAATAATGAAGGGGGTGGGACGAGAATGGTGGTAGTGGGTTGATAGTCGAAGAAGGTTAGTACTAATGGGAGGTGTGGAGTTGCTTGTTAGGGAGGGGGTGGTTGGGCCATTGGCCGAATGGAGGTTAGGGTTGTTGGTCAAAGAGAGATAGCTCTTTGGGTTGCTATTCATGGAATTGGATAAGACTAGTTCTGTCGGTTTAAGGGGGTTGGGGGTGGTCTTGTTGGTGTTGCTTGGGTTGCAATTCAAGGAAAAGGGGGAGAGAAAAAAAAAAAAGGGGGGGGGGGTTCCTGGCAGAAGGGAGATTGGGGTGGGTGTGTGGCATAGAAACTTTCAATTTTAGGTTTTTCCAAATATGGATATATATTGATTGAATAATATCCAAACTTGAAGGGGGAAATTGTTTAAATTTAAATCATGAGGAGTTGATTACAACTTGATCCAAACTTGGAGGGACATTTTATAATGAACCCTAGATTTTAAATCGTTTATTTATGGTGAATAGGATATGCTTTAATTATTTTGATTATGGGTTTCAATATTTATAGTTACCCTGAAGGTGGTGGAAGATTCATGATAAAATTTCTCCTGGTTTCCAAGTAAAATAGGGTGCTACCTAGTTTCATTTGAGTTTTGGCAGTATTTGTGAAAATTGGTTGGCTTCAAATTCGGACCCACATTTTCACTTTTACCACTGCATCAAGCAAAACATATATCCAACCCATAGGAGACATATGGACTAAGAAATGGAAAATCATCCTGCAAGTACTTTTAGCAGAAACAGGATGTACCGGAAAATTTTGTCACTTGAAATTGTTTTAAGAAAAATTTATAATTCCTTTGGAATAGAGTTCCTTTTTTTTTTTTTTTTTTTTTGTGAACTGGGAATAGAGTTCCTGTAATGTTCACTTTTTGAATAATGGCGCCTCCCTCCTCCTTCAGATGATAAATGTATGAGATTTTAATTTATTGTGGAGTACAAGAATGAATTGAGGATTATATGCATCTATATATATTGAGAGTAAATTCCCGAGGAGTTCTCAAGGTGTACAATATATTCTCCAGGAAGAGTGCAAGCTATCTTATATCGAGTTCCATTGGCATAAGATTTTCTTATGGACATTATAATAGAAATGGATTTCTTTGGGCTTTAAGGGTGCTTTAGCTAACTTTTGTCTAAAAGATTCGTATCTCATTTTTCATGCATATTTGTATATTTCTCAAACATGCACAAGATTACTGTGTTTCAAGGCTTTCTTTGGTGTTAGGAAAATGAGAGCACTTCAACAGACTTTTTCTGAATTACACTTTTTATTTTTTATGTTTTTCTAATTTCTCAAAATTTAGCTTCAGTTAGTAATTTCTTATTGGTTAAACAGTAAAGGCAGCACACATTAATCTTGATATTCCATGTCTTTCAATTCGTTTACATTTTCTAGTTCGGTCTTTGTTTCAAAATGGGGATTCAACTGAATTCAACTCAATGAAGTCATCCTAAATTTTCTAGGGAGTATCTTCCCATGGGAGGGAATGCAAAAATGGTTGAGGAAACACTAAAACTAGCCTATGGGGAGGATTCTAACTTGATCAAAGACAAGCGGATTGCAGCAGTGCAAGCTCTCTCCGGAACTGGTGCATGCCGACTCTTTGCGGACTTCCAAAAGAGGTTTTGCCCTGATTCCCAAATCTACATTCCAGTCCCTACGTGGGCCAAGTGAGTATTGCTTCTAGATCTTTGTTTGACTCATTCACACGATTTCTTGTATTTGTTCATGCTTGTTCAGCTAGAAAATTTTTTATTCTATTTTGGCAGTATTTTTGGGTTTCTAACTTTAGATTTCAACAGTCATCATAACATCTGGAGAGATGCACAAGTCCCTCAAAAGACATTCCATTATTATCATCCAGAGTCAAGAGGGTTGGATTTTCCTTCATTGATGGATGATACAAAGGTATGCAAAGCACACTCGCCAAAATGTGTTGCTTTCTGTTTTCCTTGCTACAGTTACTGTTCTCTCCCCTGCCTTTATTACATATGTTTTTTTGCATAGAATGCGCCAAATGGGTCATTCTTTCTGCTTCATGCTTGTGCTCACAATCCTACTGGAGTGGATCCTTCAGAGGAACAATGGAGAGAGATCTCATATCAGTTCAAGGTTGACATCTCATTACTCAAGTCTTATTATTGTCTTGCTCCTCTTTTCCATACATATTAAAAAAATAAAGTCTGCATTCTCAGGTCAAAGGACATTTTGCCTTCTTTGACATGGCATATCAAGGTTTTGCGAGTGGTGATCCGGAGAGGGATGCGAAGTCTATCAGGATTTTTCTTGAGGATGGTCATCTAATTGGATGTGCCCAATCCTATGCAAAAAATATGGGACTCTATGGCCAGAGAGTCGGCTGCCTCAGGTGACGGTGTGAATAAACACTTTCATCTTAAGCTAGATTGTTTCTTACTCCAGTTTTATTTGACCAAGATGATTCAAGCTGCATGATCTCTCTCTCTTCCTCACACACACACACACACTCTCTCTCTCTCTCTTTATACTTCGACTTTGTTTTATGTTAATTGATGTGCCGCTACTTCGCTTTAGCTGCGTATGGTGTGGTCTGGCCTTTACCGGATATGGGTTTTTGGATCTGGCCCTAAATTAGGGGCAAGTCTGTACCCACTACCAAGTGTTAACCACTCAATTTTGGCCGGTATGGAGAGAGGCAATCCAAGAGAATTTGCTTTCCTCAGCAGAAGGATTTTTAGAAGGGAAATTTTCTCTTTATATTTCTGCGGTAGTCTGGACATAAGGGCACTATTTTATGGTTGCAGTACTACAGTGCCAACCTATATATGTGTTTGATAGTTCTTCTATACTATACTGTTTTCGTTTGTGATTGTTGGTTTTTTTTTTGGCTTCTCTTCTATTCTGAAACATGGCCAAGAAGGTCTGGTTATTCATGCTTCAAAACTCCCTCCAATTGAATTTGTTGTTTATTTGCTGCAATTGTGTATTGCACTCTTTCTGATGCATGTCAGGATTTTGCAACAAGATAACTCTTAAATTTTGGGGATCTATACAAGAAATGAATTGATACTTTTCAACAATAGCAACTAGCCTGCTTTATAATGAAAGTGATGTGACGAGCACCACTATGCCATTGGTGATAAAGCTCACATAACAACCTAGGCCATATATCATAGCCTTTGACAACTAAGCCAGCCTTGGATCATTGTTCATTGTTCATTGTTCATTACCATTTTTGACAAGATTCCTTATTGAAGAATAGTCAATTGATAATTGGATACCCATACTCATGGATTTAGTTACTGGAATAAGAGTGACATTGGGGGGGAAGTGACACTGGGCGGCAGCAGCCATGACAGAGAGCAGAAGAAAAAAGTGATTCTGTAATGAAGTCCAGATAAGTAGGGTGTGTATTATTACATTTCCTAGTGAAGGGTGTGTTAGCAAGTAATAAGAAATTAAGGAGAAGTGGAGATGCACTTAAAGAAGCTTTCCAGATTAGTCTTAAGAGACTTGTGTCCTCCATCTTGATGGCCATTCTTTTCTTATTATAATATTTGAAGATAGAAGTTTTTAACTACACTGTGATAACTTGCAATAAATCCTAGTGAGGGCTAGGTTGTCTTATCCTTACGTCATGATTGGATTGCAGTTTTATCACACAAGAACTGTAGTCTTGGGAAGTGCATTGTCACAATTCCAGAGTGGTAGCATCTCCAATGTAGAAGATTCTTGCAATTTAGGATATCCGTAAGAGAAAAAAAAATACTTGGGCTTTGCACTTTTGGAATGTGTTTGGGTTTCTTTGTATAGAAGAAATGAAGTACCTGAAAGTATGCCTAGCAGAAATGACAATGTAGCAATTTGTACTTCTGTTGCTGCGTCTGACGTCTTTAGGAGTGGCATCATATCGTTAGTGTCAATAATTTTAGTGTACCGTCTCGCATGAAAAGTAAACACGTGGCTTGTCCGCAAACTTTCCTCTTACTCCAATGAATTTAGGAAGCAGAGGACACTCATGCTTCCTTTTGCTGATGCCTTTTATTATTGGTTGCAGTGTGGTGTGCGAAGATGATAAACAAGCTGTATCTGTGAAAAGTCAGCTGCAGCAGCTTGCTCGACCCATGTACAGTAATCCACCTCTTCATGGTGCACACATTGTATCAACTATCCTTGGTGATCCGGATTTGAAGAAACTATGGCTCAGGGAAGTTAAGGTAGTATTGGATCAATTATTTTCATTCCTGGATTTTGTTCTCCTTGTTAAAGAGGATTGTGCGGTGCAATAGGTATGCTTCTGTCTACAAGTCTAGACCATGGTGCAGGCTTTAGGACCATGTGTGTATTATAACAGCAAGCTAGAATCAGAATATTGAAATGCATTGAAAGATTTATCCCTCAATGTTCTTAGGAACTTGTTTGAAGGTGCAATATCCATGTTTCAAGGTGCTTAAAAAGTGGTCCTTTTTTGTCACGATTCATTTGTTGCATATTGCTTTCAGTCGAAGGGCTTGCCTATCACAATGACACAATGATGTGTATTATTGTCACTGTCAAGACTTATCCATTTCTTGTTAAAACTTCTCCCAATGTGAACTTATTTTATAAAAAACTACTGTGTGGTTTGTTTTGTCAGTCATTTCTGGAGGAAAATGGTTTCTTCTTCAACTACCCTAGTTGTTGAAAAAGGTTGTGCCAAGCTTGTTTTACATAAAAGGATAAATTGAAATGCCTGGAAATGGTTCCCCAACTGTTAATTTCTGGGGCTAAAGTTTCGTCATTTCATCTCGTCTACTGAAAGTACTACTATCGAAAAAAAATGTTAAACTTCAGTTCCTTTAGGCGTAACATTGCATGTAGATTTTTTCCAGGTAGTCACATCTGTCAAACAAGGATAAGTTTAGATTTTCGAATTGAAAATAACCTTCCTGTCCGCAAAGGCTGCTGGTTTCCTTGGTAGGAGGTGCATGTGTAGCTGCCCTTACCCATCTTAGCCATAGTTTTCTTGTAGAAAATGTTATTGTTGTTGGAAGGGTGAGAGACACAGCTAGCAAAATTTATGTTTTGTTTTTAGCAGTGTTAAGAATATTAGGATAGTATGTGTAAATTGTTAATAGTAAGAGGGTGTATGTGTAATTCTTATTATTATGAGTTAACTATAAATACAAGTGATGTATGAGAGTTAGGTTAAGTTTTTAACCTCTCTCTTTCTCTGTAATATTGTCTCTAATATTGTGTTATGTTAATTCTCTCAACTTAACATGATATCAGAACAAGGTTATTCTAAATACAAATATTAACCCAAACTATTGTGACCCATCGGTGTAGTGTTGCTGTCGTGGTGGTGACAACAGACGTTGGTGTAGTTGACGTTGGTGCAGTCGACTTGGTGGTGTCTGGGTTTTGTTTTGTGGTGGTACAATCGACATTGGTGCAATCGACCGGTGGCGTCTGGTTTTTCTAAGACGTTGGTGGCGTTTGATTTTTTGCCTCGTGGTGGTTTGTGGCAGATGCTGGTGGCGTTTGGTTAGCGCCGTCTTTGGTGGTGTTCTCTTGGCATAGTCAACAGTGAAGGAATAGGGTTTGGTTGAAACCCTAATCAGTGAAGAAGACAACTCTTAGCGGGTCAGTTTGGTTCGGGCTGGCTAAGCGGGTTTGGATTGTTCTTAAGCCCAACCCAATTCGGTTCAGCCCAATCCAGTTTGGCCGGTTCATCCAGCAGAGTGGTTCAGACCCAATCTGGTCCGATTCAGACCTGGTTCTCCTCAATCTGGTCTGGTTGAGACTTGGTTCTCTTCAATCTGGTCCGGTTCAGCACCTGTTCAGTTCCGGTTCAGCATTGTTCAGTTCTTCCAGGCTGGTCACACTGGTTTAGCAGTACAGCTCCTGTTTTCCTATCTGGTTCAACCTTTTAGCAGGTGCTCTTGGCCCAGTTCAGGCAGTCAGTAGCCTTTCTTGGTCCGGTTCATCTATCCAGCAGGTGTTTCACACCCGGTTCAGGTATTCAGCCACTAGTTTTGGTCTGGTTCAGGCAACTAGTCCACTGTTTGTCTAGTCTTCTTCCTGCCTTCTTTTTTTTTTTTTCCCTTTGGTTCTATTATTGCTATACTACTATGGAACCCAAGAGTCAAAATGGTGATAGTCAAGATTTGCCACTGAATTTTTCTCCTACGATTCTACTTAATGATCCTATGACATCTGTTAAACTCAATGGGAGCAATTATATTTTGTCGTCACGATCTGTTCTAGTGTTTCTTAGAGGTAAAGACTTTTAAAAATATTTAGTGGACACTAAACTTAAGGACGATACTCCTGGGTATGATAAGTGGCAGCAAGAAGATGTTCAGATTATTTATTTGCTATTGAATAGTATTGAGCCTGGTATCAGTTTTACTTTACTTTATCTTGACACGGCCAAAAAGATCTGGGATTACTTGGCTACCATGTATTCTGGCACTAGAAATTTAACTCTTGCATATAAAGTATGCAAACAATATTTTCGTCTGGAGCTGGGTACTCTGAGTCTTGAGGACTATTACTCTCATGTTCGGGGAGTGTGTGAGGAGTTGAAGCTCTATCACCCCTTTACAACTGATGCCCCGGTTTGACAGAAGTAACATAAGGATTTGAATGTTGTCTGGTTTTTAGTTGGTTTGAAACCTGCATATAAGTCTATTTGTTCTCAGATTTTGGGTGGCTCTAGTCTTCTATCTCTACTGAAGGTTTTCTCTCGATTGCAGCGTGCTACTTTCTCTACCGGGTCATCCCACACGGAGTCTGGTGTGCCTATTGAACGTTCAGCTCTTGTTGTCCCGAGTGGCCATAGTGATAGTTCCCGAGGTGGCTGTGATAACCGTGGTGGTCGCGGAGGTCGGGGAGGCTGTACTGGTAGTCGTGGAGGGTGTTCAGGGTCTCGTTCATGTTTTCATTGTGGTCGTGGAGGCCACACTGTTGATTATTGTTGGGATTTACATGGCAAGCCTTCGGGTGTTGCTAATCAAATTTCTTATCAGGATGACACCTCGACTCCTGCCTCTATACCTCGGTTTGTTCCACCTGATTCCGTGTCAGTTACTCTTACACGGGAGTATGCTCAGTTTTTGTCCTAGTAGCAAGTTGTCCCCTCTCCTTCCGCTGCTACTTTTGTTCAGTCAGGTACTGTTTCCACTTGTTTATTGTCCTCCACTCGCAGTCCATGGATCATAGACTATAGCGTTTCTGATCACATGACTGGTGCGTCTGATGTTTTTTCTACTTATCAGCCTGCTACTTTCACACGTATTGTTACTCTTACTAATGATACTTGTTCTAAAGTTTCAAGTCTAGGGACTACTCACTTGAGTCTTGATATGCCCCTATCTTCTGTGTTATTTATTCCTCAGTTTACTTTTAATTTATTTTTCATTAGCAAGATTACTCGTTCCCTCAATTGTTCTGTAACATTTTATCCCTCTTATTGTGTCTTTTAGGATCTCAAGAAGAAGAGGAAGATTGGTACGGGGCATGAAGCTGGTGGTCTATATTATCTTGAGTCCTTGACTTTGATTCACCTACCCGGGCTCTACAGATCTCGTTGTCTCTTTTTCTATGGCATTGTCATCTTGAACATCCCTCTCTCCAAAATTTGAAGTGCCAAGTTTCCAGTCTTAGTTATGTGTCGTTTTTGTCTTGTGAAGTTTGTCAACTTAGTAAGCATCATCGTGAGTCATTTCAGTATAGAGTCAATAATTGTGAGTTTAGTTCATTTGAGTTAGTACATTCTGATGTATAGGGTCCAATATAAAATATTTCATCTAATAAATATCCTTATTTTGTGACATTTGTAGATGACTATTCTCGTGTGACTTGGTTGTTTTTGATGAAAGCTCGGTCTGAATTACTCTCTATATTTGAGACCTTTCGTAAGGAAATAAAAACTCAGTATGGTTGTCGTATACGTACTTTACGTTCCGATAATGCTCGAGAATATGAATCTGATTCTTTTTCAGCTTATCTTAGTAAAAATGAAATTATTCATCAGATTTCTTGTGCTTACACTTCTCCACAGAATGGTGTTGTTGAACGCAAGAACTGTCATTTGCTGGAAGTCACCTGTACCCTGTTATTCTAGATGAATATTTTTCGATATTTTTGGAGTGATACTGTTCTTTCTACTTGTCACTTTATTAATCGTATGTCATCCTCTGTGTTAAATGGGCAAAGTCCATACTCTGTCTTTTTTTCTGGCAAGCCCTTATTTTTCCTGACTCCTAAGGGTTTTGGATGTGTTTGTTATGTTCACAATTTGGGTCTTGGGTTTGAAAAATTTGACCATCGAGTTACTAAATGTGTATTTCTTGGTTACTCTTGCACGTAGAAGGGGTATCGTTGTTACAGTCCTTATTTGCGCCGATATTTTACTAGTGTCGATGTCACGTTTGAGGAATCTGTTCCATATTTTTCAGCACCTTCTCAGCCTTTGGATCTAGATTTTGGGTCATCTCTTGTACCACCATCTTTTTCCTTATCTTCAGATATTCCACTACCCACTGTGTTACCATCTACTTTACCTCTCCGTGTTTATTCTTGCCGTCCTCGCATATCGACTGAGGTACATGTACTTTCTTCCTTGCCGCCTTCTGATCCTGGTACATCAGGTAATTTAGACTCTTTACCTATTGCTCTTCAAAAAGGTACTTGTTCATGTGTTACTAATTATCTCATTGCTCATTTTGTTTCATATGATGCCTTGTCTCCTATCTTCTCTTGTTTTACTTTCCAATTATCTACTATCTCTATTCCTAAGTATTTATAGGACACATTATCTGATCTGGGTTAGAGAAAAGCTATGGAGGAGGAGATGGATGCCTTACATCATAATGAGACTTGAGATTTCGTTCCTTTACCTCCTGGTAAACGAACTGTTAGGTGTCGTTGGGTGTATACTGTTAAATTTCATCCGGATGGTTCTGTGGAGTGTCTCAAAGCCCGGCTTGTTGCAAAGGGCTTTACTCAGATTTATGGTGTTGATTATGAGGAGACTTTCTCTCCTGTTGCCAAAATTTTCTCTAGTCGTATCTTGATTTATTTGGCTGCTAATCTTGATTGACCCTTGTTTCAGTTAGACGTCAAGAATATTTTCCTACATGGTGACTTTTGTTGAAGAGGTATACATGGAGCAGTTACCTGGGTTTACTGCTCAGGGGGAGTATGGTAAGAGAGTGTGTCGGTTAAAGAAATTTTTGTATGGTTTGAAGCAGTCACTGAAGGCATAGTTTGATAAGTTTTCAGATGCAGTTTTAGAATTTGG